ACAGAACATGGCCTATGCTTTAGAGAGTTCCTAGAAACTCTTCATGGAAGATGAGGGACTCTAACCTGGCCCTCAGACTCTCGGAGGAAGAGGAGCAAATGCTTAGAAAGTCGAGTTGTGGGATTAACGTCAGCTACTGCTTTTAGAGCTATGCGTTTTCCAGCTTAAGAATTATGTTTTACCCAATATAGACAGTGTAGCCCATGATAAAATCCTTTATAAATTCATTTTAATAGCTTTCATTGATAATTAAAATTTAGATGGAATTCATGTATTGGAAAAAGTAGGTTTTTTTTAAACATAAGACCGGGGAATATTTCTCTTTGAAAACAATTTAACCTTAAGTATAAGAAGAAAAATCCCAGTCTTAAAAGAAAGTACCTGTGAACTAACATACTAACTTTCACATTCATGTACTTAAGTTCAATCTAATACAGTCCAGAGACCTGAAGTGTGTTTAGTACAACAGGAGATTATTCAAGCCCATTATTCAAGGACTGTGTCTCTAAGATTACCTGCCACCCTTGTACTGGAAAGTCTGGGTACTTGATTGCTCTGGTGCCAATTATAGCCTCCTCTTCACTTAAGTGATCTTCAAACTCATCAAGAAGATCATCAAACTTACTCTTAGAAAGTGTGACAATTTGAAGTAGTACTTTTAATAGATTTTCTACCTTGAAAGTGCTTCTTTGTGATACAAGACAATGGTTAAGAAATCAAACTTCAACCCGGCTGGTGTGGCTCAGTGGTTGAATGTCGACCTATGAACCAGGAGGTCACAGTTCCATTCCTGGTCAGGGCACATGCCTGGGTTGTGGATTTGATCCCCAGTGCAGGAGTCAGCTAATCAATGATTCTCTCTCATCATTGATGTCTCTGTGTATCTCTCCCTCTCCCTTCCTTTCTGAAATTAATAAAAATATATTTAAAAAAAAGAAATAAAAATTCAGAAAAGACTCCACATGAAAGCAACTTAGAATATAAGTAGTTCTCTCTTAACTACTATCCTCACTGATAAAAAAGATAAGCAAGATTTCCCAAGTATTTTTCTTTGTGGTGTACACTCTAATTGGAAAGATAGCCAAGCATACTGGGATCAGAAGCAAGAGAATTTATATATATTAATCACCTGGTGCATTTTAGGCTACCGTAGTACAACTGTGTGATTTCATCTTGCAGCATTCGGATGATATAATTGTAAAAAAAATCTGAATTTATAGGTGATGAAGTTGATATCAAAGATTACAAAGCAAAGCTAAGGTCTCAATCCAAGTCCATATAACTTAAAGACTTGTTCTCTGGGGAAAAAAATCCTATACATGGGGTTTCATGATTCTGCAGAATGTACTAACTTGTCACAGCATCATCTCAAAATAGGATGTCCTACATCATATGAGATATTCAATATAATTGAATCCTGCTGCTAATGCTGGTTGGTTGGGCACTTAAATCTGATTTCAAGTGGGAAACCAGAAATTACATTTGTGGAAATTTTGACTTAGTATTACCCTGAGTTAGAACCCTAAGGGACTGGCCAAAAATAAATTCAGTAAATTTTATTTACTTTTATGTCTATCTTAGTACTGGACAGTTGAGGTTGCTGGATAAGTTTCAAACTATTAATTGCTGAGGAATTTGTTTTAAAAGAAGAAAGTGGTTCTTATGAGTGGAATCAGTTATATGATTCATAGAGACTGGTCAATAAGAGTGAAACTGAGGGTGTTCTAAATCCCTTCCTGGTCCAATGAGTATTCTGTTTACAAAATGCCTGAACTTGCAAATGTGTAGGTTGAGGGACAGGCAAACAAAACACTGAAACAAAATGGGTAAAGGCATGGATAATTAAATGATTATTCTTGATTCTTCATGTATTTCCACTGCTTAAGATTTTATTCTAGCCAAAAACGGTTTGGATCAGTGGACAGAGTGTCGGTCTGTGGGCTGAAAAGTCCCAGGTTTGATTCCCGCCAAGGGCATGGTTGGTTGCGGGCATACCCCCGTAGCGGGTGTTCAGGAGGCAGCTGGTCGATGTTTCTCTCTCATTGATGTTTCTAGTTCTCTATCCTTCTCCCTTTCTCTCTGTGGAAAATCAATAAAATATATTTAAAACAAAAATATTTTATTCTATCATCTTCTGAGGTCTGTAGCAACAAACACCATACATGCTCATAAAATTATGCAGCTCTGTCAAAGACAGGCACAGTGCTTGGCTCAGTGGCCTTCCAACACAAAATTCTAGACACGGACAACAGTGGTATTTCCTCTTGCTCATTCCAAATGTACCTGTTGTTAATTTCATCGCACACCTCATCCCCATTGTCAGGCAAAAAGAGGGTACTCAGATTTCAGAAAAAAATACTTTAGACCATTTAAATCACTACATTCTAAAGTTTTCTCTTTTCCTTTCGAGGGTCCCCTTTAGTTTTATGCTCTCTTTTAGTAAGGACCACTTGACTCTGTGTATTACAATCGACACACTACAATTTCAGGAAATACAGCAAATTTAACATGAAGACCATGAGACTAGCTGCCATCATTAGCTCTTCAAGAAAGGGCTGATATGTGTTTATCTTGATGTGTCCACAGTATCAAACTCAATGTCTCCCTCCTGGTAGGGCAAGGGGGAAGATGAAATAGAATACATATCTACAGGTGTCAGACTCTACAAATATTCCATTGCACCTCTCTTGCATTATTCAATATTAATATCCGTATTTCTGTCATTGGGAAAAGTGAGGGCGTTGTCTACAATCATGAGTTAGTAAACAGCAGCGCTGAGATTTGAATTCATGTCAGTCTGACTTTTTAATTTCACCATGTGATTCTCTCACCATACTCATGCCTGATACAATACCTGTGGAAGGTCACCTTCATGGGGTTATCACCTCTCAAGTGCTATCCAGCCTCCAGTAAAGCTATAATCCACAAATGGCCTCATGGCCAGTTGGAATACCAATTGTTAGGGTCAATCACATAATTAGTGTATAATTAAGAAGTGATAATTAAGGTGTATACAGTGCTCAGTCTTGGGGACTAAGTGTCTACTTTCATTTTCATTCCCACTGTAGTAAATAGTAAAGAAAGGCAGCAGGTAGGATGGAGCATAAGAGGTGGGAGGAGGAGAACTAAGGGAAAATGCATTTGTTTATGGTTAAAATGCCCTGCACAGGCAGCTTTGTCTGAGTGGCATTTTTAACATTTACCCTTATTTTCATTATAATCATGTTTGTAACATCCTTTTACAATTTTATGGCACTACGTGTTTGAAGAGTTTTAGAACATGAATGTTCAATGGCACCTAAGTTTTCCACCAGGGCTCTGAATGGAATTCTCAGTGTCAGGGAATTCACCCTGTATAAGAAAATAAAGCCTTATCTTTATGTTGACCAAGACTCTGTATTCCTACAGCTAACTTGAAATTATTCTATAAGCACTTCCGAAAGAACTGTGTGGTAACATTCATTCCTAGACCAGTTCTATGGACACTTAGAAAAGTCTTTAAGTTCAGCATTTCTGGATGGGAGACCTGGCCACACATGCTGTCGCTGAGCTAATGCACTTGTGTCACTAAATATATAGACACAATTTTGGTGCTTTTCCATGTTTCAATTTTCAAAATATTTCATAAAAATATTGTTTAAGCTTTTTAAAAATTATCACTTAATGCCCTAGCCAACTTGGCTCAGTGGATAGAGCGTCCGCCGGCAGACTGAAGGGTCTCAGGTTCAATTCCAGCCAAGGGCACATGCCTGGGTTGCAGGCTTAATCCCCAGTAGGGGATGTGCAGGAGGCAGCCTATCAATGATTCTCTCTCATCATTGATGTTTCTATCTCTCTCTCCTTCTCCCTTCTTCTCTGAAATTAATAAAGAAATATATTTTAAAAAATTATCACTTAATTAATGATAATGGAGACCAATCATATTAGAAAACTTTAAGTTCTTACTTATCCCATACCTGAGACATAAGTGAGATACTCCTACAAGGGTGTCCAGTGAGGGCAACCTGATTTCAATGTCACTGCTTATCCCCCAGGCCCAGTGCCTCACAAGAGAACCATTTTACAACTTACCTATGCTTAAGTCTCACTTGGAATGCTATTTAAAGAGCCCTTATAACTAGTAAAAGGGCCAAAAAATCCCGTAATTGTTTACCCAATGATATATATTCAGGCTTCTCTTACATAAATCTTGATTGCATTATCAACTGTTACCACTAACTTAACACAGTTGTTCTGGGAGCTTAGAAATCACCTGTCTTAACTCCAAATTCTATAGATCTATTTAATCTACAGTTACACCTCTACTTAGTGGCAGGGCAGAGCTGGAGCCAGATCCTTTGACTCTTTCCAGAATAGTATTTCTTTAGTAGGCCTATTACAGCCATTTTTAGGTGTAGTTATCTGCTAATTGACACCATCCATCAGTATTAAGCAAAAAATCTTCAAAGAAAGTTTCAAATGGCCTTTTACTCTGAGCCTTAATTGTAGGGAAGGAAACAATATTTCATACAGGTAATAGATTAAATATAGATCGCAAAACTGACTATTTGTGAGACACCCTGGTAAATATTCTGTAATACATGAAGATGAGTAACACACAGTTCTTGCTATACTGGAGTTGACAACTTAGATGTGGTTAACCATTTTGGCCAGAAAAAAACGGGACATTTCAATGAATGAGCAACAGTAGTTAGGAAGTCAATCAGATTCTACAACACCTTGAAGTGCTTCATAATTAGCTCTACCTAAAGTTGAAACTCCATTACTGTTAACTGGCATAGTAGAACAGCACATGGGAAAAACAATATCTCAGTGTGCTAAATCAATATACTTATAATGGATACTGTTTAGAGGTCATGATAGTTTGATATGAATAAAAGAAAATAACTTATAGCTGCTGTTGTCATGATAAACCAAAATTATCTAAAGTCGCCTACCATTTTCTAGCTAGGTCCTGTGTATATTTATTCACTTATAACATATAGGAGAGATTTCCTTACTTGTGGCCTCACCATTCATTTCTTCAAGTTCACTGTTAATTCCAACATCTAGGGAACTCATTATTTTGTCAATCTGCAAGAAACAAAAAGCATATAAGTGAATAATTATATTCACCTGTAGCATTGCATTTTAAAATAATGTTCAAATGCCACAAGCATATACAGGATGGGGCAAAAGTACGTTTACGGTGGTGAGGATGTGAAACACAGAGTTTATTCTTGTATTATTATTTATTAAATTTTGTATCACTTTCCATATGCACAACTACAGACCCACTTTTGCTCCACCATGTATTCTTGATGTTATTACCACTTCTATACCACAATTAAGAGACCACAAAGGTTTAAAGTGAAACAGACATCTTTTGAATTGCTTTTAAAAATATAAATTATGTTTCCTTTTCTTAAGCTTTCTAAATCAATTTGACTTTTCTTTGTATCTCCTAAAATGAACTTTGTTTGGAACTACTTGGGTCAGTACATTAGGAATTGTGCATTCTTTAGAGTCAGAAGGACAAGAGCTGAGAATAAGTCACGTGAGGATCTCTAAGCTCTGGGGCACGTGTCTCCTCTGACTGCTGATGGGTGGGTTTCAGTTTGTAGGCATGGCCATCGGAACCAAGGCCTCACTAAATGGTCTGGCCAGCCACAAACTACTTGTGGCATGTAATCACAAGAATCAAGGCATGGAAACAACTTAATTCTAAGAGGCAAGTTAAATGTTAATTAATCCCGCCTCATTCCAAAAAAAAAATTTTCAGATGTTACTCACAGAGTTAATAAATATAAGTAATGAGTAGATTCAAACAAACTATCTACCGTGTTTCCCCGAAAATAAGACATCCTCCGAAAATAAGACCTAGTGCATGGAATAGATAAGACATCAATCCCCTGAAAATAAGACCTAGCGCAACTTTGGGAGAAAAAATTAATACAAGACACTGTCTTATTTTCAGGGATACAGGGTAGTAGTATGAAATATATAGAAAGAAGTGACTTTATAAAAGCTTTATCCCTTTAATGGCTGACTCTCCCTCCTTGTCATCCTAGCATCCCTGGTAAGGCAGCAGGTTCCAGAAGGGACAAGAAGCATTACTTCAATGTCTCATTTTGTTCACCCTGAAAGAGATGCAGGGAGATTGAGTGATTTTTCCCAAACAGCTCAATTCAGAATGTCAATATCTGAACCATTTCAATTTCTAGTTCTCAGAATATTACAGTGACCTACAGTGTTTCAAAGCCCAATCCAACTGGCACAGTCTTTTGAGAGATAAAATGTGACATGTTTGAATAAAATGTCAAAGGAGAGTGTGGTCCAATCTTTGAAGAAATTGAGGAAAAAAGCAAGAAACGTTATTATTTCATGATGTAGTCCTCTTTAGGGACAAAGTTTGATATTTCATAATCCTACAAGGGACTTGCATTCTGAGTAATTCTATGAAATTAAATATTTTTTCTTTAGGGAGAGCTTAAATTGCTAATACGTGACCTCAACTTTTTTTTCTTTAAAGTCACTCTGATAGTTGTAAAAATAAATATTAAGTAATTTTAAGACTATAATGGAGATCCTCTGAATAGCTAAGATTCTTTAAAGAAGAGAGACAAGCTAACAAAGAGGTTAGTAAGTAAACAAAACAATATAGGGCGGCAAAAAACAAGATTTTTTCTCAATTTGTCAGCTGCAGTGCTTGGGAAGACATATGTGAACATTCTCTTGCACCTCATAGCTAGTTATTACTTCTGCTTGATATCAATTTCTATGGAAACAATAGATTTCCCCACATGTGTGGAACTCTATTTGTTTTTAAATTATCATGTGCTGCCCCTAGAATTTTCCCTTCCACTCCTAGCTGTATGTGTTGTTAATTCTCTTTTCTTTTTGCCCCTGAAAGACTTAAAGCTGAAAATCCTCCCCCCAAAACCTTCCTCGATTCCAAAGCATTCATGTAAAGAAGAGCAAGGCTTACTTCTTCCCATTCTGAGGTGAAGGATGGCGTTCTTTCAGAATTCCCTTTCGAGCTGGGTTCAGTAGTGGAAGATTCACTCCAGTTAACTCTCGATGGTTTCTCAGTTGAAGGGTAGGCAATGAGATCAGAATCTGACTTAGACACATTTTTGGATAAATGCATGTCAATCAGGGCTTTTGGTAATGACCTGATTCTCCCCAGGGTGCAGGCTCTCTCCACAAATCCCCCCGTGTTCACAATCCATTGGTCCCCATTCCGGGATCCACTCTTAGTTGTTCTTGTACCAACAATGGTATGGTTTTCGATCTGGTTGGGTTTTTTGTGGAAAATGGTTCTACTGACCACCTTGGGTTTAATTTTCTTTACCAAAGGTTCTGAGTTATTTTCTATTGGAGACTGCTTGAAAGACAGAGGATTTTTGGCCAAAATGATTTCATCTTGTCCTTCTTCATGTTCATCTCTTTTCCTGTAGAGATGAAATGGGTTTTCAGGGGACTCACAAGCTGGAGAGGATCCATGGAGAAGGCCTGCAAATTGCCCAGGATCATATTCCTTTGGGGGATCACTGTCCTCCTGCTGAGAGAGGTCATCTGCAAAAGAAAATAAAGAGGTCAGGATATTTGTTTATAAAAGAACTGAAAGCCCTGATACAATAGCAGTGCCCTTTTGAACTTGTGCTATATACAGGCATTTGATTTATTGCTACACATGATATTTCCACTTTATGAAACACCCATGACTCTACTGTGCTGCCTATAAAAACAATGTGTGTGTGTGTGTGTGTGTGTGTGTGTGTGTGTGTGTGTGTGTTTACCAAATCTTCCTGATATACCTTAGGGAGCATTTCAAAGGTATGAATTGGGTATTAACTGAGTAATTACATATCCCTCTCTCTTATCTCCAGGGTGTATGTTTTATATTAAATAACAAAATTGGGTTTTCTTAACATGAAGCACCCATATTCTAACCCAGCAATAAATGAGTCACTGTTCAGGTGGACATTAGGCATGTAAATCAAGGTCATGCACAATGACATCCCTCTGCCCTTCTCCCAGCAAATAAATCCGGAAGCAAAATCTTGAAAAGAAATTATTATTAAACATAATTTAAAGTTAATAATCCTAATATTATTACTTTAAATATGAAATTATATAATTCTGTATAAATCATATAATTTAGATAAAAAGGATGATTTATGAAAGCTTAACATAGGCCAACAATGTGATCTATACCACTAAAAAGTGAGAGAGACTTTTACAAAAAATTGATGTTGAGCTGTTAACACAAAACTCTCTTTTCCTTTCTTCTCTGAAATAACATTAGTTATCTTTGAATTTCTTCAGGTCTTTGAAAATGTAATGCATTCAATAGGCCAAAGAAAAATGCTAATTTTTATCACTTTATATTTTTCCTAAGATAAGTCATAAATGTTCTCTGAAATTTAAAATACAACATGCTTTTTTAAAATGACCTAATTTGTGTTTTAAAGATACTGTATCAAAATCTTGGCCAAAGAACAAAGAAAGTCAGTTTACTTTTTTGACTGGTCATTTTAATTCATTTAGTTAAATATTTGCTACAAAATTATCCAATAATCCAATCTTGTGAATAAAACACTGAATAGCAATATGGTAGATAATAACCATAAATCCAAAGCTCACATGCTGATTCACACTTTAAAAGAAGTTAGTTATTATTACAAACCCCAAACGCCTACATTTTTAGAAACTAACAAGTAACATTGAGTAGGTATACCTATTTACTAGGTACTGAATGAGAGATTATATTGACATCATCTCATTTAAACTCAAGTTAACCCTATGCAATGATTAATAAACGTCATGACTTTCCTATAGAAAGAGATATGTCCAGAATACTGAATTCACACAAATGAGCAACCACAATAGACATTTACCTATAAGATGCTACATAGAGACAAACTGACTTTCTTCAATGAAGTTTGGTCCTAGGTCCCTATACTGTTCTCTTCCTCGGAATTGACAGAAGCATGTCCCCTGACCCCACCCTCATTCCTGTTTGACTTCTCCAAACAGAAGATCTCCACTTTCCCAGACCTAACACAACAGTATCCTGACATGGAAGAAAGAAGAGTGACAGGAAGAGAGGTCTAAGAGACCACAATCTAAAAGAGAAGCAATTTGCACCCATCCAGTACTATTATAATCGCTTCATCATCCCACAAAAACTATCGAGTGTAGCAACACTATGTCCTCGTAAAAAAACCATTTTGTCCTCCCCTGAGGACCTTCCTAAAGTAGAATAGTAGGCAGAGAGTGAGGCAAGGCAGCTCTGAACTTTCTAAAAGGGTTGTGTTCATATAAGGTCTATTCTATACATGTTCTAGAAGTCAAAATGAACACTTTGACAATTTAAATTGCTGCATTTTCCTCAGCCAGTATGTTAAGCTGATATTCAAACTAAGGCCTATCGGATTCCCACACCAAATTATCCTGGAAAATATGTCACTGGTACAATAAAATAAAAATCTAGGGTTCAAAGGCAAGCAATGAGACTTTGTGGGGAAGGATACATTTTTTTCCTATTTATCACTGTTTCTGGATTTTGGAATAAGTGGACTGAAAGGTTTTTTTCCTGCTTCATGGAAGTAACTGTTGCTCAGAGGAAATACAACTTGACATTCTGTTCCAATTTATTTTTTCTTTTTCTTCCTTGGCTACTTGGCTCCCCATAGAGCTTTACAACAAAAGCAGGTTGATGTGGGGTGACAATATGAGTGAATAATTGTCAAAGGAAGGAAGAATTTGAAAAGGAAGTGCAGAATGTTACTTTGAAAGTTGCTCTCTTATCTCCCCCATATCTCCCTACCCTCCCCACTGTAATTTGGCAGTCTGTTTGTTGCTTTACTGTCTCTGTATCTTTTTGTTCATCAGTTTATGAGTGACACTCATCATAAATGAGTGAGATCATGCATAACCAATGGATGCAAAACTCTGGGGAGAGAGGGTAGGGTTGGGAGGGGGGCAATGGAAAGATATGTACACATATAATACCTTAATAAAAAAAAAGGGGGGGGGGGAAGTTGCTGAAGAAAGCCCAATGCCCAATAGTTTGGGTTTGAAAGGAAACCTGAAAAAAATCAACCTGCTACAAGAAAAAGATTCTGTGAATCTCAGTCAAAAGATTTGTGACCATGTTCATGGCAAAGAGAGTGTTAGGGGCACAACACTCAACTTTTCTGTGGTAATTATTATTAGGTAACAATCCCCTCTGTGGTTTGACAAAAAAAATGACTCTAATCACCATCCCAACATGCTTCATATTGTCCAAGTCCTCAGGTCACCGGCAGTCACTTCCCCAAGTAAAAGAGAATTTAGTCAGCTTAGAAGATCAGGCTTTTGAATCACAGTTCTTAGCATCATGACAGCTGGTAACATCTTTACAGATATTATTTGTTTATTTCAGTGGCCAAAGTCTACAGATGACTGTCAAAGACAAAGAGAAGTTGATCTGAAACCTCGTGAAACACCTCTTTGGTAGACTGATTATGGATATGACCCCGATCTACCCTGGCTCCCTGCAGCCATTCTTCCCACAGGGCTCTGGGTATGGCCAGGCCCCTTGCTTTGGTTAATGAGACAATAGCAAGCAAATGTGATAGAAACAGAGAGCCTTGCAAAGCACTTGTACCTTGTCCTCTTGCTGCTCTTGGAATCTTGTAGCATGTGAGCAAGGCCAGACTGGCCTGCTGGATGAGGACAGGATACGTGACCCAGCTGTTTGAAGTTGTAGGTGTTATTGTTTTTCAAGTTATAAAAAGGCTTACAGACTAGAGTTGCCACTTGGAAAAGACAGATTGTTATACTCAGACCCCAAGAGGAGGGAGCATGCTATGCCACCAGGGGGCGCACAGGGAGGCCCCAGGATTGGGCAGGAGGCAGAATGAGTGAAGGAAAAGGTGGGGAGTGCCTTTATTGTGGTGCCTATGGAAACCATAAGCAGTTTTAGGATTGGCTATTTTGACCTGCAGGCATAGGCACTGTCCCTAGCGGTCTGGTGTGTGGTGTTGGTGTCATTAGGGCAGGTGGATGGTGGCTCCCTGTGAGAACCTGAGAAGGAGTGATGTTGGGATATGGCTCTGGATTGGCTGGTGTGCATATGAAAGGCATCAAACAAAACAAGACAAATAAAAAGATACCTTAATATCCCAGCCACCCTCCCTTACCTCTGTCCATAGTCAGCAAAATTCCAGTTTGGTCTAGGTAGTTTCGCCATAAACATTTTTTGGCAACAAGTATGTTTGCTGCAAACACTTTTGTTGCCAACACTGGCCATAAGGCAATTTTGCCATAAAAGGTAAAATAACTGGCTGACAGTTTGGTTTACATTTGGCAAACTTCATGTACTTTGTCGGTTCAGTTTCCTTCTCTATTGATGAAGTTCTCTCAGTACTCCCATTTGTATTTTAGTAAAATTTAGCCCTCATAATGGTCTATACTGTGAGGAGTAGACATGGTAGTCTTAAAATACTGGATGACAAGGACTACATAGAAAGCCAGATTGCAAAGCTATGTGTACAGTTAGATAACATACCATATAAAAATGATAATATATCAGTTTTTGTAAATCATTTGGTGAGCACAGTCATCCCTCACACCTGTCAAAAGTTTACAGAGCTATATATGCAAATATAAAACAGGCAGCTAATTCACAAGTCTTCCAGAACATTAATTACCAATTCTTTAGTTGGAAACTGATACCACTTTACATTTTTTATTTATTTATTGACTTTGAGAGAGAGAAAGAGGGAGTGGGGGAGGAAAGAGAGAAACATCAATCTTGTTATTCCACTAATTTATGCATTCATGGGTTGATTCTTGTATGTGTCCTGACTGGAAATCAAACCCACAACATTGGCCTATCAGTACAACTCTCTAACCAACTGAGTTACTTGGCCAAGGCTGATATGTCTTTTAATAAAGAAAAAAAGTGCAATGCCAAAAGAGAAGACAAATACATAAGAAAAGAAAAAGAAGAAGAAGAAGAAGAAGAAGAAGAAGAAGAAGAAGAGAAGAAAAACATATAATATAATGAACAAAAACTTTCAAAGACAATGTATTTTCATTTTTCTCAGCAAAGATTTTTAAATTTTGTTATTAATTTTTAAATGTTTCATTATATCCATTATGTCATTTAATATTCCTGTTTCGTTTTTGTTCTTTTATCTTTTATCACAAATTGTCTTATAGCAAAGATGTTTACTGCAAAACTACAGGACATGCTTCCAAATATGCGAGTGAGGCCAACCAGAACTGACCATCCCCAGTCCAGCCAGCCTCTAACTACAAATGGCATGCATGAGCCCAGCCAAGATCAATTGAAACTGACCCAAATCAGAACATCCACTAGAATCATGACTTAAACAAATGGCTATCATTTTAAGCCATTAAGTTTTGGGTCAGTTTGATATATAGCAGCACATAACTGATTCTGCCTGTATGCCAACTTTTAAAGAAGAATTAATACATTTTTCAAATATCTATCAGTGTTGTGAAGACTGAGTGAAAGAATAGAAGTAGTTAGAACAAGCCTGTGGCACAGAACACATTAA